CCTTAAAAAATGTTTTCCACAAAAACCAAAAGCAATATAATTGTTTTCTACACTGATAATAATAAGACCTGTTTCTTGAGCTTCAAATCGGCATATTAGAATGATTTCTGATCATGAGACTGAATATTATTGTTTTAAATTGTTGTCTTCTTCAAAGACTCAGATCTGTTTCTTTTATTTTTTTCCCAGCACAAACTACTTGAAATCTGATCTTTTCAATACAATTTTTTCTACTTTCATATGTGCTCCTAATTCAGATACAGGTCTAATGCGACCTCAGTCTGAACAGTCATATCAGAATTCATGCAACTTTGTCACTCTGATTTGACATTTGTCACAATTCTTAGCTGACGGGAGTCAATTGAAAGATTTAACACGTTGGTAGTTCTTTGGTCACTTGGTTACTATGGAAGACAGCTGCGAAGGTACTTTGTGGAGGGACAGTGAGGTGTTACAACTCAAGTATCCAGTGGCGGCTCGTCGGGGGAGGCAGGGGGAGGCACAGCTTCCCCAAAATTTTGAGGTGAAAATGGGAGGAGGACGATTTAATGTAAATAAAATTCACAATTAATTTCAGTTCATGTCTCAGAATGTGGTTTTTTTTTTTTGTAATTTCACAGCTGTAATAACGTTACTGAAGTTGGAAAGCGCCACTTTTCTATCGCGAATGTGCCGAATCTGCTGATGTAATTACAACCGCTAATGATAGAGAAGGGTAGGGGGAGGCCGGGGGAGAGCTGAGCTCTCGTGCCTCCGTTGGCCAAAAAATTAGCCAATCAGCATCGAGTGTTCACTTTCAGCGCTGAGGAGTGTTGAGAAAAGAACCCTCGCGAGGGAGGCTAACCTCCCTTCTGGTATATCAACCAATCATCATAGAGACGTAAATTACGTGCTATTATTGAACGTCTCCCGCTGCGCTGATAATGTACCAACCAAGTACTTATGATGAGTAGCGATATTGAATATTTGATCGCCAACAGAGTTACCAAGCTGTCATTCAAACAGTATATATAAAAAAAAAAAAGGCAAAACACGCCTAACTGGATATAGGCTACAGCAGTTGGCTTAATTAAATGGCACAACAGGCAGCTCTCTTTTAACACAGACTTTTAAGAAGGGATGGATGTTTGCTTCAAGTGAGATTGCTGTTTAGTGAAATTATATTATCTTGCTGTATGTATGTCGTTTTCTTTACGTTTTCTGACTAAAAGCAACCAAAAAGCCATTTGAAAGTGAAAGTGACGTGACATATGGCCAAGTATGGTTACCCATACTAGGAATTAGTGCTCTGCGTTTAACCCATCCTAAGTGCACACACACAGCAGTGAACACACACACTGTGAACACACACCCGGAGCAGTGGGCAGCCATTTATGCTGCGGCGCCCGGGGAGCAGTTGGGGGTTCGGTCGCCTTGCTCAAGGGCACCTTAGTCGTGGTATTGAAGGTGGAAGAGAGCGCTGTACATTCACTCCCCCCACCTACAATTCCTGCCGGACTTGACTCTGAGTCCGACTCTCTAACCATTAGGCCACGACTTCCCCCGACTTTTAAAGTGGTTAAGCAAATAATAATAATAATACTAATCGGCAGGGATCCCAGACCAATACAATTAGTGTGCCTCCTCTATTTTAAAACCCACGAGCCGCCACTGCAAGTATCACAGTGACAACAAATAAAACCTGAGGAAAAACTATGTGAGAAAAACTTACAGTAGTGCTCTTCCCCCTGAATCTACAGATTCACTAGCTTTCGCGACACATCACCTTATAAGTGAACGCGTAAGCACTAACTTCAGTGGCCTCCATGTGTACTTCTATATGACAGCATGCTATGTGCCATTTGTACTGTCCTTTTGCACATGCGAGGCAGTCGAGGACTGTGACAGGTTCACACAAATCTGATATTGGACACGTTCAAAAAATATAAATAAAGTGAACAGCCAAACACCAAATCAAATCTGAGCAATAAATCAGAATTGAGCATCAGGCTTACAGTGTAAACTTAGCTGTAACTGGTGCATGTAGTATTAACAAATCTAATCTAGTTTTGTACATGAAGACAGAAATCATGTGACGGATGGAAACGTGTAGTACAGTAGAACACTGTGCTTTACTATATATGAAATCAGTCACTACTGAAATTCTAAGTATCATGTCAGCGGTTCTAATCTGCGTCTTCGCTCCAACGTCAGCAACCTCTTCAGTTTCTAAATGATTATATGTAAATGGTCAGTAGCTTCTCCTAAATGAGGACAGAAATAAATAACCATTGCATGGTGACATGCTGACATAAACTTAAGATGCGGTCATGACTCCTGTCTGAGTGGATGGGTTGATTTTACTTTATCGTTGAGAGAGCTGCCAGCAGACCCATAACATCACTCACAGAGGGGCTCAGATGCAGGAGGATCAGGGAATTGGTCGGTTAATTGCATTGAGCTCTAATACGTGCATGTCCTGAATCATGTCGATGTCTCCTTTGGTTGACAAGGTGGGAATACAGAGTTGGATTGAGTATTTTAAAGGACTCTTTTTCTCTCAAGAGTCTGGATACAGAGCAGTATCACCTGGCACTTTTTTATTATTTACATACCTCAAAGTCTATGAAGACTACTGCATTGTTGTATTCCAAAGCCAAAAATAAGTGCAGCAGGATAAAAGAATCCAAAAGGGAGTTTTAGTTTTATGAAAAGGATCTTTAGTGTGTGAAATGGAGACAATAAAACATGTTGTTCCTATTGTGAGGCAGAGGAGACAACAAATACACATTGTGGCCCACCATATTGATCTGAGTTTTAGGTTATTGTTCTATGTGCACAGACTCATTCATGAGAAGTAAAATGGTATGGCTTCATATTTCAGTATCACGGTCTTGGGTGAAATACTTTTAGTTACCCATTTGTTTCATGGTTGTCATGTAATACTACAACCATCGAAATACATGGCAGCAGAACAGAGCCTAATGCATTCTGTCATTTCACTAACACTAAGCTGTTTGTCTGAGAGGTTTTATTCAAAGATTAATCTTGAAGTGTGATGGAGGTTTAGTGTTTTAAACAAATACAACCTCTCTAATAGTAGAGATGCATGATATTAAAATTTCAGTACCGTTCAGCCGATTAATTGTTGTCATGTTATGCTTGATTATCATAAATGGCCGATATTAAAATTTTATATGGTTCTGTCTAAATAAAAATAAAATACTGAAAACTGAAATGAGTCATTTTAAATGCTACAAGGCATCAGGACATCAAAATCGAATGCTGGCTGATACCGATAAATTAAAAGCTATATCATAATATTGGCATATAACCTACAATACCATTCAAAAATTTGGGGTCGGTGCAATTTCTTTTAAAGAAATTAATACTTTTATTTAGCAAGGATGCATAAAATTTATCAAAAGTGACAGTAAAGATATCTAGGTGTTGCAAAAAAAAAGCATTTCAAATGTTATTCTTTTTAACTTCCAAGAATTCTGGACAAAAATGTATCATGGTTTTCACAAAAATATTAAGCAGCAAAACTGTTTTCAACGTAGATAATATTAGGAAATGTTTATTGAGTATCAAATCAGTATATTAGAATGATTTCTGAAGGATCATGTGACACTGAAGACTGGAATAATGGCTGCTGAAAATTCAGCTTTGCAGTCACAAGAAATAAATTACATTTGAAAATATATTAAAATAGAAAAACTGTAACTGCATTTTGTTAAAATAAATAGAGCTTCGGTGAGCATAAAAGACTTTCCAAATAATTTATCCATTCAACACTGTGATGCTGAAAATGTAAATCGATATATGTGAGTGGCTTTGTGATAGAAAGATACAGTCATACTACGTACAGTGATCAGTTGTATTATTTACAGCGTTAGCTTCTTTCACATGGAAATTCCACTTTCGGTTCAATCTAACTCTCACCTTTCATTCAGTTAGCTTTCAATTACACACTTCATTATGCTCTGTAATGAGTCTGTAATGTGATGTGCCTATACATTCCACCCTGAGGGCCTCGTTGGGGTAATATATGCAATCCCATTTTGCACCCTTAGGCTTGTTGCCACTAATAAACAGAAGAATTCAGAGCATCATTTGTTCGTAGAATTTCCCCTCGGGATTCTAAAGAATACTTCTTATGTAAATCCAACAGAACATGAGTCGTGGATTATTGCACCTCCGTCACATCTTAGTATCTTCAAACTGTGTGTTTCTCAGTGATGCTCCACGGACTGCTTAGACAGACAAACAAGACCCAGTAGCTTTTAGAGGCTGACTGCTGAACTTTTCAGCTTGTAGACAGAACAGCGGTGGAGAGGTCACTTCCAGACAGCCTGTCCCCTCCAGTGTGCTTCCAGCTCGTCTTCCTGCTCTTGTTCCACTCCGTGTCCTCGCCTCGGGCTTTCTGCCCGGCCTCTTCTGAATCTGAAGGAGAATAAATAATGAATCTCGATGACAGAGAGGAAACAGAATCTTTTGTTTGCACCCGCAGTGTTATTTTTCTCATCTTTTTCTGAACCCCACGTAGATGACCCAAGGCCCGACGCAAGCATAATGAAGATCCGCGTAATGAGGCTGAGGAATACGAGGCCCCTAGTTAGACCCGAGCTGTCGGCACGGCGGTACTTGTCATTGTGTCGTTAATGGCCATGAATAGCTTGTTCTCCTTTTGCTATTGTTGAGAATGCTCTCGTGGCGCTTGCGGGGCGATGAGAGGCTTTGACTCTCCATGCTCTTAAGGTAATGTACGCTCTCACCCTTGTGTGTTGCATCCGATGTTGCATCCCCTCCAAACTGGAAGTGCGGTTTAGATTTAATATCGGGGATTTAGCAGCTGTTGCATTGGGGAGCTCCTAATGCTCGAGTCACGTCCCCAAGTGTCCCTTTTCTTCAATCTTTTCATTCTCTTTTGTCGTTTAGACCTTTTCCCTGCTCTCTTGTGCTCTCTTGTTCTGAAGTTGAACACTAACTGTTTCTTCTCTCTCTTTCTCAATACCCAGGTGCCCTCTCTTTGCTTTGAGCCTGATTATCGGTCTGTCTGGTCTCCAGCTCTTTTGGTCTGGTTGTCTATTTCGGGCGAGCAGTGATCTTCCACAGCAGACATCTCCAGGGATTGTAGCCCGTGGTCTGAGGTGAGTCTGACTGGGATCCATCGCCTTTGCTCCTGTCTCTCCTCGTTCGCAATCACCATTATGCCAGTCGGATCCACGCAGCTTTAATTCTTAGAAATCAGTGTTCATTAGAGTCACCTGCACTTCAAGAGGAAGCACAGAATAATTTGATGTCAGATGCCTCATTATGGTACTCCTACTTAAGCCATGACAAAAGTACAATCTTTTTCATGCTCGAGAACCACCGCAAGTCTATGGGGATAACAGAGAGCCGCAGATGCATTTTGATTAAAGGCTAAGTGATCTTCTTGTTAAAATTTATTTCATAAAATTGTTATCGAAAAAAGTATCGTTCAGGAACCGGTATCGAAGTCAAGGTATCGGTATCGGTATCGATATCAAACATTTTTGAACGATACCCAGCACTAGCCATAACTCCAGTCTATTTTAATATGCTAATTAGAATATGCTTAATTGGTGCTCAAAAACTATTCTTATTATTTTCACAGCTGAAATCACAGTTGGGCTGCTTAATATTTTTGTGGAATCCGTAATACTTTTTTGCTCAAGATTCTTTCATGAACAGAAAGTTAAAAAAAACTTTCTTTACTGTGTGACTTTTGGTTAATTTAATTCATACATGTTCAAACCTCTTTTTTAATCTTTTGAGGCTCACTCTTTTCTGTGTGATTTCTACAGACTTTCAAAACCATTGTGACAGCATAGAACCACACAGTTCAGTAAACGACTGTAACATTGACAGTGTTTCTTGGATTTTATTTATGAATAAATTGCCAATAAAGAGGTCTTAGACTAGGTTCCTAAAGCTTCCTGCTTATATGGTTGTGTCTCACTTGAAATCAGTTCTGCGGTACCCTTGTAAAGGTTCTAGCAATTACGGTTCTGACCAGTCATCAGAGGATTTATAAAGATTTTACATCTTTTAAGTTATTGTACATTTCAAAGTCTATGCAAGCATGCAAAATGTTCATGTCCACCTATCTAGGAATACAGATGAAAACAGTGTGCTTCATTTTAACTTCCAAGCTGTCATTTTAGTGATTCACTATAGGGAACAGCTGTTTGTACAGCTGAGCAGAACATCATAACAGTTTTCCTCTAATAGAGATGTCTTACAGCTGCAGTCCTAGTGTGGAACGATACAAAGCCTTTAATGGGTGACTGTGTAAATGAACCTTTTTACAGAAATGAACATGACTTCAGTCTCTGCCTTTGAATGAACTGTTATATAGTGGAATTGAAATCGATATTGATTTTCTCTCACACAAGAATGACCTGTGAAGACCTTTCAATGGTCTCAGATTGGCAAGTGAGTGAAGCGAATTTTATTAGACACATCATGCAAATCGTTAACAGATCAGGTATATGGTCCAAACAAAGCGCAATATCATAAAAATGTTACAAACACACTCACTTGCGCCTCGTTAACGGTTGTAATAGTGCTTCTTTTCTGATCATATACATTAGAGTTGCCTATAATCAAGCAAACTGTTGTTCTTGTGTCCTTCTGCGATACCCCCTGCCGTTTAACATAATCAGTGCTTTCACGCTTCGCTGGCCCATGCTTGAGCAGTGTGTCATTCACGTGCCCTTCTACATCTGTCTCTGTCATGTCAATTCATCACATACATGCTCATCTCCCATCATGTGTCTAATGAAATATCTTGACAGTTTAAACAAACGGTTCACCCTGTGTGGTCTTAAAGAGTCCTTCATCACTGTCAGGGGACTAATGTCTTGTGCTAAGTGTTACAGAACATACACAGTCACACAAATATGCGTAAATATATAATGTGCATAAAGACCAGATGAATGAATCCCACAATATTTGGACATTTTGAGATTAAGTAAATTATTGTGTAAAAAAAAAAAAAAGGTTTGTAAACATCTCATTTGTTTTAATTAAATTGTATTAGTCTATATCACACCATTATATTAGCCATCTGCCACCACACTTTGGTTATTCACCCATTTCGGTCAGCTGATAACAAAGACTCACGATCACACGCTTATCGAATTCCTGTAACATTTCTTGATATTATTCTTAAAAAGTCATCTCTTTTCACTGCACTTCCAAGAATGCTCCAAGGGCTCCAATTCAGAAGAATGATAAAGGACAAAAAGTGTCCTTGTCTCTTTCTTTCTCACTCTCTCTCTTTTTCTCAGGAGGAGTCATGGGGCCGGTACGGGCCTACCCATTAGCCCTGCCTGTGCTGGCTGTTCTGGGCCTCATTATCAGCGCATGGAGCCTCAACCCAGATGACCCCAATGTCTGCAGTCACTGGGAGAGGTGAGAGAGGGGCACTCTCCTGTGTTAAACTCCATTTTACCTTCCGTTTATCCATTGCGGGATTCACACAGCGTAGTTATTCCTCTCCGACATGCCAGAAGGATGTTTTGGTCAAAAGAGGATTTTAACTTAACGGAGAAGTGGTTTATATCTGTGTGATTGTTTGAGTTTTAATGGATTGTGACAAGGTTATCGGTAATAAAATAATAATGGCTGTAATAAATGAATGAATCAATTCATTTTTTTTAAAATTCATTTTATTAGTGTATAAAAATTGCACATTGTATAGATACTTAATGAGAAATAATAATAATAATATTCAGATTAATTACCAATACTACTACTGCTACTACTACTGATAGTATTGTTATTGCAAGCAAAAAGTTAATAATACAATTTAATAATAACAATTAAGTATAAATTATATAATTACATTTTAAACTTTAAGAACTATGTTGTGATGCTGCTCACTGGCTTCTCATAATTTAACATCGTTCAACTACAGCCAAGCTACTATTTTGAAAAAGTAGTATAAATTAACTATAAAATGTTAGGGTGACTGCATCTAACTTGAACAGATACATTTTGAGCAAATACACTAGAATACACCCTAATTTATTTAACTGAGTTGAATACATAGCACTGAGCATTTCATTTAATATTTAGTGAATTGGTGAGTTGTTTTGAATCAGTTCATGTATTCGAACAGTCCAAACAAACTGATTGACTAGAATGCATTGGACTTTCCAATGCTTCATCTGACAGAAAGGAAAAGCTGTACTGTATGTATTCTCATGCCCTTCTATACATTGCCAATACAACAATTGAATGTGATGTTAAATACGACTTACTGTGTTTGTCAAGCTACTTGCTGAAAAAAATGCTTATTGCTAAAAATAACCGGACACTATTTTGAACAATTGGGCTATAGAAAAATGTAGTCAAGTTAGTACTATAAGAAGTGAGGCTACTAACTTAACATTTTACATTTTTTGTATCTTAGTTTTTCAAAATAGTGTTGATTTTATGTCAAGTTAATGCCCAGTGTCAAGTTAGGTGAATTCCCAACACTGATTGCTGAAATAAAAGGTTGTTTTGTAATAGATGCATACTTGTCAGAATGAAACAGAATACTTGAATGGATATTTGATGAAAATGTAGTGGATAACAGTGGATAAACTTTTGTTCTGTATAAGGTGGGATGTAAGTGGTTACGGGCTGTTTGGATTAGTCGAAAAACACAAACAATGTGTAGTTCTGTTCTGTTATCTCAGAGATTTAGGGGATTTACATTTGTTTGTTCCTGTATTGACTGTATTCACTTTTAATGGCACAGCTAAAGCGATATAAAGGATTGTGTTTGGGAGTGTTGATCTGGTTACACTTGCCTACAGGTATTAGGTTCAGTCACTAAACTCACAAAACAATATGGATGTTCTTATTATTAACCTTGTAGGGTGTGTGTGTGTGTGTGTGAGGGAGGGAGGGAGAGAGAGTAAGGATAAGTTGCTAAAATAAAGCAGGCAGAACAGCATCCAGTTGACCAGAACAATCTGTTTTGACTGAACCTATTGCCTGAACAATTATTGTTTGTAAAGGGTGTTATCTGTTATGACAAATAAGCAGGAGCAATTGCCTCTGCAGAGAGGAGGACAGAGGGCTGCAGAGATGAATGAGTTTTAGTATTGCTTCCCTGAAAGGGAATATTTCGGAGCTTTAATGTCATTTTGTTGGCAACAGTTTTGTAATGTTTTTTCAAGGAAGTTAAGACAACACATCTTGTTTTTCTAGATTTACTGTAGCTTTGGAAGGGAAGTATTATGCTAGTCTTGTTATTAGAGATAACAAGTTGTTTTGAACTTCAAGCAAAATAGTTGGATACTTGTCTGAATATTACATTTGAGTATTTTATGGTTTTGTTTCTTTGGATACAGTACCTTCACGGTACAGTTAATTATAGACTTGAGACCAGCACATTCTTTGTCTCTCTGCAGCATAATCATGTTTGGGCAATTTCAGGTAGGGGTCCCCACGGCAAGTTGTCACTTTTTACTCTAGTGACTATTTCTTGGGGTAGGTTTATTTCTGTATATGCAAATACGTAAATGTACAAAAAGGCTCAAACTTTGCACTGTTAATGCCCAGGACCAAAGATGGTACTCATATGGCGCTTTTTCACTGCATGGTACGGCACGGTACGGCTCGGTACGGCTCGGTACGGTTCACTTTTGGGGGGTTTTCCACTGGGTACAGTACCTGGCACCTGGTACTTTTTTTAGTACCACCTCGGTTGGGGTTCCAAGTGAACCGTACCGTTACCTAAACGTGACGTGTAAACTCTGCTGATCACGGATTGGCCGGAGAGAATCGTCACTACCTGCGTCACTGAACTTGCGACACAAACACAACAGAACCGCTAGATTTAAATCAGCACGAACGCAACTGTTTCGAACAAGCGCACCTTTTTTAACAACCAAAAAGTGGCTGTTTCATTGTCTGTTGAGGAAGTACAGACGTTCCTCTCGTTGATACCAGAGGAGCGGATCCAACGAGAGCTTGATGGGGCGACGTGGAATGAAAAAGTTTTTCAGGAGGAGTCGCGCGGCAGTAGAGGCGGCGCAACTATAACGACATGTGAACAATCCCACCCACTCTAAAGTGGTACTGAACTGCAGTGGAAACGCAAACCGAGCCAAACCGAGCCGTACCGAGCCGAGTCGTACCACGCAGTGGAAAAGCGCCAATAGAGTGCAGGAGTATTGAACTTATTTATTGAGTTATTTTTGCTGCTTTAGGCCTTGAACGGTTGAATACACACACTTGTATGTGTCAAAATGCTTGTCTTTGCAAGTATCCTCATAAACACAGTAGGTCTTAAGTGAAAGCAAACAACTGAGAAAGAAAACACATGTGTAACACTATATTGGATCTGGGAAGCTCTTAAAGTGACAGCAGTTCAATATTCCTGCTGTCTCATTCATGTTAATCAAACAATAAAAGAGAGAAAATCTCACTGCTCTTGACTAAATCACCTTTGTAGTTTTAATAAGAAGACATATATATTTAATTTACACAGTGAAAAATATGCAGCGTTTTTTATACATTAAATTACGTTATACAATGTAGCTTTTCTTATTTATTTGTTCTACTGTAGTTTTTTGTCCTATTGCTTATAATTAGTTTCTTATTCTTATTTAATAACTGACTGTTTACTAGTAATCAGTGAGCTTGATTTTTTATTTTTTTTTTTTTTATTTAGGCTAGTAGTTTTTTGTGACATTGACACTGGTAACAAGAATTATGAAATTTCTATGATATCATATAGGATGTATTTAAAGCAAAAATATCTATATTGTGATATATATTGTTACCGTGAAATAAAATTACTCATACCGTGATATAAGATTCTTGTCATATCGCCCACCCCTAATAGTGGGGAATGTTGTCACGCAAAATGAATAAATGAAAATAAATATACAATAAACCAATTATGTATGCATTTAATGCACTTTAAAGCAGAACTATGTAAGGAATCAAGCTATATATTGGCCCAGTTGTTTCTTAACCAGGGAGCCGGGGCTTATGAGGGGTCAAGGGGCCACAGGATGACTTAATTCTTTTATATGCTCAAATCATATTTAATTTTACCCTCAGTAATATTATTTTTATTGGGACATACCAAACTCAGATTCTTGAATTTTGTAGCATCACAAAATTCATTATTTAATTGATTTAATATATACACTCCCAGTTTCTGTTAATAAAAAAGTTAGAAAAAACAGTGTTATTTGTAATTACAGCAAAAGTTCCAGAAAAAGTATTAGTATTTCTCGATATGGGGGCCTTTTAATATTGTATTGGACAGTGGGGGCCTTCAAGTCTAAAGGGTTGAGAACCTAAATGTATTTCAACAAAAAAAAAAAAAAAGATTTTTACATAAGAACGAGAGATTTACATTTCTTCTTGGTCTTTTTCTCTCTTAGCTACGCAGTGACTGTTCAGGAGTCCTACGCTCATCCTTTTGACCAGATCTACTACACCAGGTGCACCGACATCCTCAATTGGTTTAAATGCACCAGACACAGGTGAGCATGACCCTGACCTTTGAACTACAATTGTCGCGATTCCGCTCCATGGCAACAAGCAGCACTCTCCTACTAGACACATAAAAATCAAGGTGCCGTTGTGCCAGTGTCTTTATTACCAAGTGTTAATGTTACCAGCCGTGATTGTAGTGGTCAGAGTCGGGATGGAAATGGCCGTTTGACTGTCATCCGACATTACATTGGTTTTAATTGCTGCATTAAAGACTTTATCATCAGTGTCCCGGCTAAAAGCTGTGGGTTCAATGAGTCACTGTGCTGCAGTGTTGCATTCAGAGGCGAGTTGTCCTTCACTGAACGTGAAAACTTTTCCTTAACTCACTTTAATTATGTTTATTTCTCCCCTTTCCACCTCTAGGGTGTAGCTTGGATTAGACACAAATAGAAAAGCTAATGGTAGCCGGGTGCATACCATAATGACCTTGTGTCTCTGCCCTTGTGGAGTTCACCTGCCAGGTTATTGATGTTCATGCTTTCTCTTGAATGTTTGTGTACGTGTTTGCATCTCAGGACCAGCTACAAGACAGCTTATCGGCGCGGGGTGAGGACCATGTACCGTCGGCGTTCTCAATGCTGCCCTGGCTACTTCGAGAGTGGAGACTTGTGTGTCCGTGAGTGTCTTTCATATTTCGCTCGCTTATTTCCTCTTAAATCAGCACAGTTCAATTTCTCTTTCTTGCAAGTGGTTATGAGCACAATAAAAGCATTCATCTGCTTGAGCGATGTCCTCTTAAGCCTTGAACCCCGCTCCTTTCTCTGGAGGCATTCATCAAAATCTCAGCCATCTTTGAGGCATTTTTGCAACTGCATATTCTAGGCATAATTTGTGCCTTTCATTACTGGTCCTACTCATATTGGGTTTGCTCATATTTTCAGTTTTAACACTGCCAGTACGCCATTACAACGACGTTAATAGCATTCAGTTATCGCTCATTTTTAGAAAAAAGAATCTTGAGTGATTCACTGCAAATACATTGTCCTAATTCCTCCCGTTCTGGAGATAATACGCTAATTAAGGAAATAACAACTTTCCCTTGCTGTGGTCTGAATGATAGATTTTAGTGATTATTTTATGAGCAGTGAATGTCAAAAATGTCAGTTTTTATACTAGTTTATTGTCTTTTGGCGCTGCCAAGACTGTAAATGCGTGTTTTGTTTCTCAGGATTGGTTATTGTGTAGGCCAGACTCATTATTCTTTAATGTGTTTTAATCACGAGTGAGTGAATCCTGTCAGTCAGCTTAGACCTTTGGCTCGCACGGTTCAGCGGTTGTTTGACAATATGCAAAAATCTCTGTGTGAAAGGACCTCGCACAGGACCGTGTCAAGGTGATGAGGTAAATGACAGTCTTACCGAGCTCCAGGGAGAGGATAAAAATCAGCACACGTAGCTTAAGAGCAAATGGGATTTGATGCCCTCACAGCTACTCGGCATTATTAACAAGAGGGAGGGACGGGCTTTCTGATGGATGTCAGTTTCTGGATGGATGGCTAACTATGGACAGTTATGTCTGCATGAAACTAATACCTGTGGTCATGTTTTTAGTAGGGATGCTCCGATCCGCCTTTTTCGCCTCCGATACCGATTCCGATACCTAGGGTTCAGTATTGGCCGATACCGATCCGATACCAGTGAAGTTTTTCCCCGCGCTTACAAAGTGCGCATCCGGTGTGCAGAATGATGCGCTTGAAGCAATATGGCGTCACAGCCTGAAGCCGTGTTGCTTCAAGCGCATCATTCTGCACACTGGATGCGCACATTGTAAGCGCTTCGTGTTAAAAACTGCAAAGCACAAAGGGAAGAGAAATAGAGGCGGTTTAGCCAATCACCACACACTGGGCTAGCTAACCAATCAGAGCCCATCGCCTATTTCTGAGGGCGGGGCTTCATAAAAACAGGAAAAGATCAGCCCGCTTCTCAGAGAAGGGACAGAGCGGTGTGGAATAAAGGTAAACTATGTGAAAAATAATGCGTTTTTTTTTTTACGAAGCATCAACACATGTTAGACTGCACCCCATAAACACAATCAAGCCTAGAAAAAACCCAGTGAACCACCCCTTTAAGTATGTAAGGTTATGATCAGTGTTGGGGGTAACGCATTACAAGTAACGCGAGTTAAGTAATCAGATTACTTTTTTTCAAGTAACTAGTAAAGTAACGCATTTACTTTTTCAAATAAGTAACGCAAGTAACTTTTTTTTTTCAATTTATTGATTGACAGCTCTCCTGTCCCCATGTTACTGTAGTTCTATAATAAATATGAACATGCATTAATTCATCTCACTCACACACACACAAAAAAACACAGATTCAGTATTCCTCAAAATGAATAAAAAATAATGCAACTCAGAATATGACGTAAACCTGCAATAATTAAATGTTAAACAACACAAATATCCTTTATGTATTTAATCCCATTCTATTAACCAATGTCTTTGCTTCTGACCTTCGATGATCCAATTCAACCATACTAATAAGCAAAAATTACTCTAGACAAACATTTGTGTAAAAGTAACGCAAAAGTAACGTAACACATTACTTTCCATAAAAAGTAACCAAGTAACGTAATTAGTTACTTTTTTATGGAGTAACGCAATATTGTAATGCATTACTTTTAAAAGTAACTTTCCCCAACACTGGTTATGATAAATGTATTCAGTCTCAACTCAGTGTCCACTACTAAAGCATCTTGACGTTAATAAGCATAATGTCATGTAATTCTTCAGCCTGTGCGTTTTAAATGGACTCTCATGAGAATGAAAGAAATTAACAGCCTATATTAAGTCGTGATATGGGCCGCTGTGATATTCAGCTCTGCAGGAATCATAAAACTTTACTTCAGTTCAATGTTATGAAGAGAAGAGGATGAGCTGCAGACGGTGTGGACGGTTGAAATGCTGATTACTAACCTGCGATGCTGCTATATGAATTCACACTAATTCATAATTAATTTTCATTTTAATTTCACCGTATCAAAGAGAAATTTACACTTTACCATAGAACGAGCCATGAGACCCAGCAGTTGTTTTGCTGTCGTCGTGTCACAGGGACCTAACGGGCATTGTCTGTCTTTGTAGTTTGATTTAAAAGCCTATTTACATATGCCACAGAAAAACTTTTTATGATCCAAAGACATTTTTAATTTTACAGTTTCACACCTCGCTCTCATGACAGCAGGTATTGAGCAATTTGATATTTCAGGCAGTTATTTAATTGATATATTTGCTCACACGGCTTCTCTTTTTAGCTTTGAAAGGATTAATTAATCCAAAAATGAAAATTCTGTCATTTACTCACCATCATGTTTTTCGAGACCTGTTTATTTCTTTGGTGGAACATAATAGTTATTTACAGCACAATGTCCAATGTCCACTTTTTTCCCCTACTTTTTGATTTTCTATATCTTATATAATGTAATAAAATATAATATAATATTTAATGGAAGAGAGCAGCATGAGCATTCTTCAAGGTTTTTCATTTTGAATTTCAGAGAAAAAAGAAAATAAATAAAGGTGTAGAACAACTTGAGTGTGAGTAAATGAAGATGCAATTTTTATTTTGGGGTTCACTATTCTTGTTATAATTAAACTAATTGACCAAATGACCAAATCCTCTTGAATTTTTTTTGAATGGAATTAATAATATTGAACAATAAGTGCCAAAAGAGAATAATACATGCATTGTTAACCCTCTTGTAAATCAACAGCTTGTTCACCAGATGTTGTTCTTTCGTTACTAAAGGTCATTGTAGAAAGGAGGAGGTTTCAACAATGACCTTTAGTAACAGGAATTTTTTTTATGGCTGAATGCGAGTGACCATGGTCTGTTGAAGATAAAGTTGATCTCATGTTTCTGTCCTTATTGAGTGGGATTGTGTCCAGCTCTGTCTGTAGCCTGAAGGCACTGCTAACAACCATGGGATTAGGTGCAGCTGGGATAGGGATCAGTTTTGGCATTGTCTGGTGGTCTGAGTGGGAGAAGGCAATGACAATAATCAATAATGTTCTCATTACCACACAATAGCTGCAACAATTTCATGTTAATAGTTGTTGCTGTAATGGAACCACACCATCTGTGGAGAAGATGGTAGGCATATTTTTTTTTCCCTCAGTGACCTCATGGTATGTTTATTGCCTCTGTGCTGTTTAAAACGTGGCTGAACATGGAGTTGACCAAAATATACTTTATAAAATGGATAGTAAAATATCTGATCTAAAAATCTAATCTCAATCTAATCTGATTGGTAAAATAGATAAAAATCAGTTGTTCATGCACAAAGATGCTACCTAACATGCAACCTTTTAGGCTAATTACTTGGCGAAGAATTGTTTATTGTGAATATTAAAGGGATAGTTCACCCAAAAATAAAAATTATATCTTTAATTACTCACCCTCATGTCATTCCAAACCCGTAAGACCTTCGTTCATCTTCAGAACACAAATCAAGATATTTTTGATGAAATCTGAGAGCTTTCTGACCCTGCATAGACAGCAAAGAAACTACCACATTCAAGGCCCAAAAAGTTAGTAAGGACATCGTTAAAATATTCCCAGTGACATCAGTGATTCAACCTTAATTTTATGAAGCTACGAGAATACTTTTTGTGCGCAAAGAAAACAAAAATAACAACTTTATTCAACAAGTTCTTCTCTTCCGTGTCAGTCTTTGATGTGCGTTCACAAGAGTACCATGTTTTCTTTGAGCACAAATAGTATTCTCTAGGGTTGGGTACCGAACTCGGTACTTTTGAAAGAAAAAGTTTGTAGGGCCCTATTGTTATTTTTTCACTGAAATAAATGTTTTTGTAATTACACAGAGAGTAAAGTACCGAAAAAAGGTACCGTTGGGTACCGGCACCGAAATTCAGGTACCGATACCGGTACCGTACCGGTTAAAATGTGAACGGTACCCAACCCTAAGTTAAAGGGTTAGTGCACGAAGAAAACAAAAATAACAACTTTATTCAACAAGTTCTTCTCTTCCGTGTCAGTCTTTGATGTGCGTTCACAAGAGTACCATGTTTTCTTTGAGCACAAATAGTATTCTCTAGGGTTGGGTACCGAACTCGGTACTTTTAAGGGTACCGACCGAATTGCGTCGGTACTACCGAGTACCGATTCACGTTAAATCAATTGGTGCCAAATTTCGGTACCTGAGAACGCATCTGGGCGCATACGCTACAGAGAGAGAAAGAGAGACTCTGTGACGTGATGACACAGGGCAAACCGAAATGTTCTGAAGTGTGGTTACATTTCTAGGGCCATATGGTTTGATATGATATGGAGTCCATTCATAAAAACCAGGTACCGATACCGGTACCGTACCGGTTAAAATGTGAACGGTACCCAACCCTAATATTCTCGTAGCTTAGTAAAATTACGGTTGAACCACTGATGTCACATGGACTATTTTAATGATGTCCTTAGAACCTTTCTGGGCCTTGAATGTGGTAGCTAGCTCCGTTGCTGTCTATGGAGGCTTATGTTTCATTTAAAATATCTTAATTTGTATTCTGAAGATGAACAAAGGTCTTATGGGTTTGGAACGACATGAGGGTGAATAACTAATGACAGAATTTTCCTTTTTGGGTAAACCACCCCATTAATAAAAGCAATTATTTACTGAGCATTTTGTTGTTGCTCTACTTTGCATTTTATAAAAGCAGTAAACCACTAGAGGCTGTGTGTTACAGCTGTTTTACTTAAATACCTCATTGTAAAGTACTTCATTCATTTCTTTAATTTCTGGACTTTTGCCTATATTTGTTAGACATTTAGTAAATAGTGCACAGGCCAGACTTGGTGGCAGACATTTGTTACCTGTACAACCATAAGTGAAGAAACACTTCTGTACAAAGTCTTCAACAAATGTAAATTGTTAAAAATATTTATTAATCTTCATAATTCACTTCATTTGATTTCCAGGTATAATTTAACCTTGTATGTGAGGTGCTAGCAAGAAGTCTAATAAGGAGTTTTTGTGCAATGGTGTGGTCACCTCAGAGAGGTCTGTGGGGTTTTTTTTTGTTTTTTTTTTGGGCTGTATCTGCTCTGTGAATAATCCTACTGCTCTCACTGGCAGGATTAAAAGCTTTGTAGAACTAGCTATGTTCACATCGCTGGGACAAGAGAAGGTATTAAAGCCATTTTCATTACATATATGTGGATCTTTGCTTTTCTTCTCAATCTGAACACCTCAGGGTTTATCCTCTCATATGGGCCTTTTATGAGCTGCTTTCCTAGTAGAATCAGTCCCTTGTGTATTAGCTGCATTTTAAAGGCATAATTCATTAATGGCCTAAACCAACACAGCCTATTCGCTTTGAAGGTGACATGTTTGCGGGTTGCCTTCTGTGTCCATAGGGAGGTCAATCAAACAAGACTTTTTCTTGTTTTATGTGCCCGAATCATGTGAGTCATTTAACCTGCATGCACTACTCCTATCAATCCCAAACTGTCAGTGGACTTAGTAGTGATGGAAGCCAGTGAGTCTGTTCCTCTCATAACACCAGCACTGTTTTTGCAAGTGTGGATTGTGCATTTAATGTCGAGAAGGCGATCTTGCTCATACTGAGCAAAAATTATTTTTCATTTGAAGAAGGAAGCCGTACATGGAGCCAAAGCAGTTTACACCATCTGGTCAGAAGAGTCTCAAATAGTTAGTGATGCAGTATTAATGATGCTATGTGCATGCTGCAGCTTCTTGCTGGAAAATTAGATGCTCTAATAAAATCCCATGCACCATCGCAAAATAGATTTCACATCTTAGTTTTAATGATGGATTAGATGTTTGATTCCAAATCCTGTTTTAGGTTTGTTATTAAAAAGTTCATACACTGTGCTAGGATATAAAGCAGATCCTTTATGATAGATGCATACAGTAATAACCTTGGATTATTTAATGTGTTAAATGATTGACTGATTGTCAAACTGTATGTTTAAATCTTTGGCCTGATGAGTATTTGGTGTAATAATGCATGACAATTACAATTAGCTCTATTGTTAACATGGTATGATAATGCCAGTGTGTAATGAGATAAGCCTTTTATCGAAATGAAAGACGTAATTTTTCACCACAGCCTGCAGACATAGACTTTTTCTGTGTAGAAGGAAGAAGATTCATTGAATTTTAATTAAAATGCAGGACCTATTTTCTGAATTATTATAGACACGTACATCAATTCAGCTCTCGGGAGAAGGCACGTTTTATCCTTTCACCTACGTTACATAAATGAATTTTAATTTGCTGAAAAGATGTGACAAATTAGCAGTTCGTCTCTGTTGTCTGATCAGAAATTGCTGATTGTAACAAAAATCAATCATTTCATCACCAGAGTTTTTTAAACCTCGCTTTTGAGCACGTTGCGTGGCTTCATTGATTTCAAGAAGTCAAATTGATGTCTTTGTCAGCACAAAATGCGAAGGATTTTTCTTTTTTCTTAAGCTGGAGGAGAACTGGCATGCTTGAATATCAGGTTCTCAGTGCTGTGTAAATCCATACTGCATTATTTGCCAGTGGCAGGTTTAGCATTTTCTGTGTGTGGAGCATTTCTGCTCTAAGCACCATCCTCTGGGTATTTGGGATTCTCCCTCTCTCCCATACCCTTCCTGTGCTTATGTCCAATATTGAGGTCCCAGGTGAAGGCTGAAAGAGCGATAATCTATAGCCGTGCTGGCCTGGAATGAGGGCAAGTCCTGCCTCATCCTTTACCTAATGCAGCCAGCTTTAGTGTGTGCCAGAATCAAAACATGCACACACATTAATTCACTCTTATGAGCGTGATTTATTTGCATGCACAAAATTTTTTATATTCATTCTTAGAGGATCGCCTCAACTTTTTCAACCAAGAAGGCAATTTGCAGTGTCTGCATACAAACAACTTCTGGCACTTTTATGGAGTTGACTTTTCTTTCTTTTTGATATGTGAAGGTCACATTCACTGTGAGGTGTAGATTTTGTTTTAACACAGACTCTCAATTTTATTCAGATTTTAGCTATGAAAATCCATTATAATATTTACATTTTTAGCATTGTTGTCAGACAGCTGTGCTGTCATTTCCATCACAACCAACAATTTTGCCCCATAATAAAATTAGATGTGATGTGCTAAGAAAACAAAGAAAAGTCAAAGTAAATACTATGAATATTGTTGGGTCTGTGAAGAATTGCTGATGTTCTAGTCACTATTATATTATCAGTGCAAACATACATATGCATGTATGTAACTAATGGTTGTTATTTAATGGTTAATAGACAAATTAAACTAGTGGGAGTGTGAAAATTATGTTTAAAGATTTTTTTTTTCGCATGGTATGAAAGTATCCATAGCTGATTCGTATAGAAACCTTAATTCGTGTACAGTGCATTTTAAATGCATCAAAACATACTCTTTTTCGTTACTTAAAAATATAAGAAATCTGCAGCCCTTTCCCTCGGTATAAAAATGCATAGTAATATTTCAAAACAATTTACTGGTAAAAACCAGATTATCATAAGCACCACAAAATGTGTGGGCAGCTTTTGCCAAAATAATTCACTGTTCCCGAAGTGTTGACATTTAAGATTTGTGTCATACTTCGGGGCTCCTGTGAACGTGACAGAACTTGAAATATAGCTCCTTACTGAGTGGCTCTTGTGCAGTTTGGAGGAACACATTGGAGTAGAAGGGGGGAAAGAAGCCCAAGTACCAATCCCTTAGTTCACTCTGAATTGATTTATTCAGATTAACACACACTCCACTGTATCGCTATATATCACTTTATGAGAACCTGAATTCATTACCTTTTGAGTCTGTGTTTAGGTTAGAAAAGGTTATTGAAGACTTCTCTCACTGTTTCCCAAGAGAATCAGAATATGCGTATTTATCGGACAAGATAAATGCTGGTCATCACATTGTGTTTATCAGGTTTCTTTCAACGATATGCATGACTGGCCACATTAACTTTCTGTTATTTATAGAACCAACCTTCACATATTTCATGGTCAAAGATAAGGACATACCATAGCATCTGACACTTTTTTTGTTACCTTCTTCACACTAAATTCTCTAGAAGTACATGCTCTCTTCCGCCTATACTTGGAGAGTCACGAGAACCTGAATTCATTACCTTTTGAGTTTGTGTTTAGGTTAGAAAATGTTAGGGAAGACTTCTCTCACTGTTTCCCAAGAGAATCAGAATATGCGTATTAACCGGACAAGATAAATGCTGATCATCACATTGTGTTTATCAGGTTTCTTTCAACGAAATGCATGACTGGCCACATTAACTTTCTGTTATTTATAGAACCAACCTTCACATATTTCATGGTCAATTACTTGTCCGAATCCAAATATCTGACTGAATGCGAGGGCCCGGGCAGGAATACTAATGCTATAGACAATCAATTGGATGCTGTGTTGTTCAATAGGAATGATCAAGAAAACTGCACACTTCGTAAACAGCATGAAGGCTGGCTGGCACTGCGTTAGAGTATTGTGGCAAAGTGCAGGCTGATCAAATTTGGAGGGATTTACAGCTTGTTTCCTTGCGGCTGTGGCTGCTTACGTCGGCTCGGTTTGCACAGACACACCGGTTCATGTGATAAACTGAGATGTTAACCAAGGGCTCAATCTCTTAGGAAATCGTTTAGCTTGTGGTCAGAGTGAGCATTTTAAACGTGCGACCATAAGAAGGCTCTGTGTTTTGCACTAGCGAGGAGCCATCGGTGACAGCCATCTTTGGAAAATGGCCAGTGTAGTCATTATCCTCCATATCAGCACATCAGCAGACATTTGCGGGCGGCTAAATAATGTCTTGTGGGAGACTCAGACCTACAGTGTCTGGATAGCATCCTGTGCTAATTCACATTCCTGTCTTATGCAAGATGCATCCAACAACTTATTTGTGTTTGGACCTCAAGCTCCATTTATTCTCTGCCAAATGTTTTGCCAGAATCCTTTTCTATTTCTGCTGTGTTTAAAGCATTCTTTGTCTTCCTGTTCTTTTCTCTCTGATAGCACGATGTACCGAGGAGTGTGCCCATGGTCGGTGTGTGTCTCCTGATACATGTCAGTGTGAGCCAGGCTGGGGAGGACTGGACTGCTCTAGTGGTGAGTTCACTCTCTCATTAACTCTGAGAGCACAGTTCACTTCATTAAGGCCCTCTCACTCTCACATAGTTAATGGCTGCACCAGTCCCCAGACGCCACTGCAAAGCTACCATGTTTCTCACTTACTCGCTCCCCTCTCTTCTTTTGCCAGCTGTATTAAAAAGTAAAGCTGGAAATCATGGAGGACGAATGAGATGTGCAATCATGCAGTTGCATTAACAAGTTACTTTTTCTGCTAAAGCTCTGGGAGGAAAAAAAACACTATTTTGATTAGTTATTTCTCTGACTATGGAATTATTCCATGTTTTGCCAATTTGCTAATTGTGCCCAAAACATTGTGCACAAAAAATGTGTAATGCAAAAAAAAATAAAAAATAAACACACACACACACATGTATTATATACACATATTTAATTTTAATATGTAAAGGATAGTGTATTATCCCGCTTATTACATAGCTACTTGCCACATATGTAAATAAATAGACAAAAAATCGTTGAAAAATTAGTTTAAATATTTTATTAGCTTTTTAAACTCAAATCTGCCGCAAAGAATCACTGTCCCTAACAAATGGCATTGAGCCTAGACTGACTTCATACAAGATGGACGTTTGAGGCATAATGTACACTTGTATCCCTAATTACACACCATATCACTAATTATTTATGCGCTTTTCACTGCATAAAAAAAACATGAGGACTTGAATTGTTATTTAAGAAGGAGGCGTTTTAAAATCGTATTTTTTTATTACCTTAAATCTCATAAGTGTCATTCTGGCAACAAGATGAACACTTCAACAATATTACCACAAGCCTACTATTAATACTGAATTCCACTGGTTTCATTTTACAGTAAATATGCAAAATGATGGTAGCTGTGTTTGAATGAGTATTCCCGAGAGCTGTGTAATAAATATATATATATATATATATAATTTATTTTTATTATTTAATGGTTATTATACTTATTAAAATAATCATTATTTTATTTCTAAAAGCTTTTTTCTGGCTTATATATATATATATATATATATTTGTATTTGTATTTATTTATTTCAAATTTTATTTAGATAATTTAATGGTTATTTATTTCTAATTTTATTTAGATAATTTAATGGTTATTTTGACTCTGGCTGTTTTCAAACTGTGTTTTTATCTGTATCATTAATTTTACACATTTATTTCCACTCAGTGTTTTGCATACATTATACAGACCACAATTACAACATCAAATTACTTGCTTCACGATGTAAATTCATTATGGTTAATTTAAAACCTAAATGTGAAATCCAATGATGAATTGTTTTGTCCAAAATAATTGTGCATTTTTTCTGTGTTTGATTGACAAGCTTGTCATGTGAAGTATTTATAGTTTGACAATGACGGCAACAATTGCTTGCTTAATGTTAGAAACTGTTCTGAAAAATCAATATAACCGTAAAAAGTGTTGTCTCTTGCTGCATGTTCTGCCATTTTTGCATTTTTTTTTTTTAAATAAAACTGTTACTACTACTATTTTAATACTACTAATCTAAATTCATTGTGGACTATTTGGATTATTGTTTATCAATTTTATTGATTAGTTGTTCCAACTCTATTCAATACAAAGCTAGTCAGGGTGAAAGATGACGGATGGACCAATGAATGGAAGAGTGGTGGTTGAATAGATGGGTTGATTGCTGGATTGATAGTTTGATGGAGGTGGGATGGATGGATGGGGTGGGTGGATAGGTGAATGGATAGATGGATTAGACGAAGCTAGCCTGTTTTCTTGCCCCAGTACTTGGTGAAATGGACTTTATCATAATTAAAATGATAAATAGTGCACAGGGTGGAATCAATCTGCATGTGAAAAACAAACAGGCTGTCATTGGATCCTCAAGATGAATTGGTTAACAGGCCTTTACCTCAATGGCTGAAACATTGCGGGACAAAATAGGAAGCCATCGACATTCACTCTCTAATCAACTAAATGATGAAAAAGCAGGTAGTAGGAGAGACTAGAGGTTGAGAGAGAAAGAGGTATCGACTTGTTTAATATTTATGTGTTGAGGAACTTGAAGGAAAAAGGGACAACAAACTAAAGCGCTTTCATGTGAGGAACAGCAGGGGCACAAACTTCTTGACCTTGCTGATCTGTGCTGAAGTAGGCACGTTAATGTCCTTAGTTGTTTTTGGTCCAGAATCGATAACTGATGTACAAGCTCTCGTCAATGTACATGACACTTATTTTCTCATTCAAGACATGTGTTTTGACCCAATTCGTTAATTTTTCCGGCTTGTCGGCTTGGTTGTGGCTCACTCGCTGCCCATATTTACCAGTGAATGATGGTTGTAGAAGGCTGTGTATGGATCTATGGGCATTTTCATTAACAAAGGAGCCATTTCATGATTACCAACAGTCTGTAAATCACCAGCTTTCTTTTGGAGTCACCGGCCACAGTGAAGGAGACACAGACACCACCGGCACTAATGACCTAGACCGATTTTCTATATTGCACTTTACTCATGAGTTTTAGCAGGGTTCCTCGGTGGGCAACAGAGGAAAGAAACCCACCTCTGAAGCTCAAGATCCTCCTCTGAGTATCTCTGTCTGAGGACCACGCATTCTTCTGAGCAGGTGCTGTTCTGTACTAATCCACCTTATTAAAACAGATCTGGTGATTGAGACAGAAGCATTATTCATAACTTTTATATTTCCATACCAGGCGTTAGGCCAGGCTTTTTCATTTGTGAGCTTTCATCTGTAGAAATGAGGAATGGGAGCCAATTTTTAAATTAAATCTGACCTCTTTTTTCACTCGTACATAAATGGTGCATCATTCAAGGTAAATTTCTCTTCTCCCCTTCTCTCTCATGAGTGCTGGGAACGTCGGCTGTCCCGGGGTGGATTCTGTCATCACATTCGAGGATCCTGCGAGCGAACAGAGACAAATAGTCATAGATCGTTAATCACAATCAGGGCTTTGGGTCACTGGCACAAATGCCTGCCGGTGGAGTCAATGAGAAGGTATGAGAGTGAGATAAAGCCGAGTATTATGTGCATTGCTGAATGAATGGAGTATATAGGATAATGCTAAGCAATAGGGATGATATGGCTATGAAAAACAGAGCTGCTTTTGGGCAACTGAAGAGCTTGAGAGTTGAAGTGACGAGCTTTGCGCTGACTCTCTGGAGCAGCATCAAAGAGGCTGGCCGGCGTTACTGGAACAGCACCCACTAGGAGCCTGCTATTTGGGTCAGAAATGAAAACTGAAAGGTGGAGCTTATCGCCAGGATGAAGGGATAAAAATGAAATGAAAGAATGAGAAAGAGGGAGGTGAATAGAAGAGGCCTGTCATTTCACTCCCGCTGAGGTCAATCTGCCATTGCCTAAAGACAATGTAGCCGTCACGTTTGTCAGATTGCAAATGCGAGATATAACCTTGGACCGTCCCGGAAGCTTCAGGTGCTAAAAGCCGCTGCAAGGTCATCAGCGACATAAATGCTTTCACACAAATCTGAATTATTCTCTTACTGTGAAGCATTTGTCTCACGCAGTCTATTTAAGATTCCAGTCTCAAATTTATTTCTGCTGCTTTGGCAACAGGGTTTCATTCTATTTGATAATTTGTTCAAAGCGTGAGAATTAATGGTGGACTGGAGGACCAAAGAGAATGCTGAGTTTGGGGAGTTATTCCAGAATGCATCTACAGATTTCTCCATTTCATATTGATTAGCCTGGGGTGAGGATGGATGTTGCGTAATAGATTTTGATACAGTATCTCAGCAGATGCAGTCTTCATGATGGCTACATCTTCTTCAGTCTCTAGCTTGTCATTATGGCCTGAAACACGCATGCCAGCTTTTATTAAATATGAATAAACATAGAAATGAGTGATACACCCACATCAACATAAATACATATATATTTTATTCTGGTTTAGCGCAGTCAATCAAATCTGTCTGTTCAGGGCATGGGGCAGCATTTGTAGCAGTGGCATGCAGTGAAAGTCTGAAATGGGGAGGCAAAGCTGCCTCTCTATACAGTAGGCGTTTGTTTTTTGATGTATGTATGTATGTTCTAGTTATGTTTGATGTTTGCAAAGTTTCCAGGTCAAAAGCATTTACTTTACACATAGGACTATCAACAAGCAACCAATACTGTAATATTTTGTAAGCCGGGGGGGTTCAAATTGGGGACAGCCAAAGCTGCATTTATTTGATAAAAAATACAGTGAAACAGTAATATTGTGTTATATGTTATTAGAATATAAAAAATAATTTAATATATTTTAAAATGTAATTTATTTCTGTGATGCCAAAACTTAATTCAGCAGACATTATTTCAGTCTTCAGTCTCGCATGATTCTTTCTTTGAAGCTATTCTAATATGCTGTTTTGTCAAATTTGTGGATGCTTGGCATCAAAATGTTTGAAAGGTTTTCAGGCTGTTTATCTATTCACTTCACTTTATGTTCGCTTAAAAATGACAGCTTTACTTTGATCTTATATTTTGCTTGCTTTATTTTTTAAATAATTATATATAATTTTGTTTAAAAATATTACTTAATATTTTCATTTTTTTCCAATTTTATTTTGCCTTGTCTGTCCTTTTCAGTCAAATTAATTCCATTAAATACTGTATTGACTGAAATAAAACAAATAAATTGTTTGTAGATTAAATGCTTGTAAATATTATTTTAGAATTTTATTTTGCAAATTGTAAGTGAACTGTGCGCAGTGCTAATGAGATTCTCTGTGAAGTTACACAATATTTCATGATTTTTTTCCCCCCACATTGCCCAGTCAGGGTGTAGAGTGGGACATAGATCCATTTGCATTGCAGAATATTATTGTCAGGTTCTGTGGCAGCTTGACTGCCATGGCAACAAACAGCAGGACCTATTGGCTAGTGAGCAAAACATTATTACATTTTAGGTGAAAATAATGGGTTTAAGAGTGACAGATCACCATCTGATCAGCGTTCATGTACGAATCATAGCAACCTGTGCTTATTT